TTTTAATTTAATTTTTTGTCCTGCTGTGTTGCCCAGGCTGGTCTTGAACACCTGTTCTCAAGAGATCTTCCCATCTTAGCCTCCCAAAATATTGGGACTACAGGCGTGAGCCACGGTGTCTGGCCTTTTTATTTCCAGCCATCCCAGTGGGTGTGTGATGGAATCGTGGCGTGTGGTGGAATCGTGGTGTGTGGTAGACTCGTGTTGTGTTTTGCATTTCCCTAGTGATGAGTGATGTTGAGCATCTCTTCATGTGCATCTTGGCCATTTATACGTCGTCTTTGGACAAATGTCTAGTAAGATTTTTTGTCCATTTTTATATTGAGTAACAGTATTAATCTTTTTATTATCAGATATATAGGTTGCATTTTTTTTTTTTTTTTTTGAGACAGAGTCTTGTTCTGTTGCCCAGGCTAGAGTGCAGTGGCATGATCTGAGCTCATTGCAATCTCCGCCTCCTGGGTTCAAGCGATTCTCCTGCCTCAACCTACTGAGTAGCTGGGATTACAGGCATGCACCACCACGCCTAATTTTTATATTTTTAGTAGAGGGGTTTCACCAAGTTGGTCTCAAACTCCCGACCTCAGGTGATCTGCCCGCCTCAGCCTCCCACAGTGCTGGGATTACAGGCGTGAGCCGCCGCACTCGGCCTCCCACAGTGCTGGGATTACAGGCGTGAGCCGCCGCACTCGGCCTGAAGCGCAGACATTTTAATTTTGATGAGTCCAATTTATTTTGTTGCCTGTGCTTTTGGTTTTGTATTTAAGAACCTATTGCCAAATCTGAGATCATGCAGATTTTCTTCTAAGAATTTTATAGACTTAGTTCTAACGTCATTGATCCATTTTGAGCCTCTCCTTGTCTTTGAGAGACGGAAATACTGCCGCCCCAGAAGCCTCTGACTCTCAGGCCCTCAGCCCTGGAACCGGGCCTGGAAACAGGTCTGCAGCCCCTCATCCAGGGAGGGCAACCCCCGTTGTTCTGAGTTGAGCCATCCTCCACCACCGCCATGGGGCCTGGGTGGGCATGAAAGGCCGGGCTCGGCGGAGGCTGTTGCATTGCTGGGGCAGGTGCCCGGCCCCCAGGGTGGGCTGGGCTCGATGCTGCTCTGTAGCGCAGGCTACATTTACGTCGTAAATTTGTCGCCTGTCCCACTTGGAGAGTCTGGGGACGACCCATGTGTCTTCTGACGTGTGTCCCTCTGTCCCCAGATGCGGACCTGTCCGTCACCGAAGCCAGCAGCTCCGACAGCCGAGGAGAGAGGGCCGAGCTCTATGCACAGGTGGAGGAGGGTCTCCTGGGAGGAGAAGCCAGCTATCTGGGCCCTCCCCTCACCCCGGAGAAGGACGACGCCCTGCACCAGGCCACCGCGGTGGCCAACCTGCGCGCCGCACTCATGAGTAAGAACAGCCTGCTGTCGCTCAAGGCCGACGTGCTGGGGGATGACGGTTCCCTGCTGTTCGAGTACCTGCCCAGAGGGGCCCACTCGCTGTCCCGTAAGTGCAGGCCCTGGGGGCCGCTTGGCTTTGGTGTGGTTTCGAAGGCTGAGAGTTGCAGGTCCTGGGCCAGGCTGAGATGAGGCTGAGGGTCTGTCCCTGCTGCTCGGCCGCCTGCTGGCCTCCCTGTTCCGGGAGGTGGTGGGGCCCGTCCTGGCATCGGGTCCACGGGGAGCTGGCTCTAGGGTGAGGAGGGAATGGACGCGGCTGTGAGGGCGGCGCGGCGGGCGGGGCAGTGGCCGAGTGCTCGCTGGAATGTTCCTCAGCCGCGTCGCTGGGCCGAATGGGAGCCCGCCGGGTTGCGCAGGCTCGGCGCAGGGGCCGGGGGTCTTTGTGCTCCAGAGACGGGCTCGGGCGCCCCCTGCCGGCCGCTCTGTGCTGAGGCTCGTTTCACGCCCGGGAAATGGGGACGGCGATTGCACTTGGGGGCCTCACCTTGTGTTGCCTTCGCTGGGTAATGCTGGTGGCTGGCGTGTGACTTTTAAAGATGCGTCGGGTGTTGTGTTTAAAACGTAAACGTCCCCTGCCGAATCCAAACGACCACGGTGCTGCTGAGATGTGGCCAGAGGTTCAGTCCCTGCTGCGTGCGGGGCTCGCCCCGGACTGACTGACTTCCTGACAAGACGGGGGCGCTCGGCTTTAAGAGTTTAAAAAAAAAAAAAGCAAAGGGGCCGGGCGCGGTGGCTCAAGCCTGTAATCCCAGCACTTTGGGAGGCCGAGACGGGCGGATCACGAGGTCAGGAGATCGAGACCATCCTGGCTAACGCGGTGAAACCCCGTCTCTACTAAAAAATACGAAAAACTAGCCGGGCGAGGTGGCGGCGCCTGTAGTCCCAGCTACTCGGGAGGCTGAGGCCGGAGAACGGCGTGAACCCGGGAGGCGGAGCTTGCAGTGAGCTGAGATCCGGCCACTGCACTCCAGCCTGGGCGACAGAGCAAGACTCCGTCTCAAAAAAAAAAAACAAAAAACAAACAAACAAAAAACGAAAAACCCACCGCAGCCAGCCCCCAGCCAGCTGCCTTCTGGTCTCGTGCCCACGTGAGGCCCCTGGGCAAGGCCCGGTGCTGGCACCTAGTGCATAGTTGGTGCTCAGCGTGCGACTGAGAGTGAGTGAGCTGCGTCCCGTTTCTCTCCAGGGGAGGAGGCAGCGAGTTCGGAGTGTGAGGGGCTCCCACCTCCGTGTCTGGGGTCCAGGCGTGATGAGTGGTGTGGACCTATTGTTTCCTAAGTATTGAGTGAAGCGAAGGAAACGTGCCAGCCGTCCTTGATGCTGGGATTTGGGAAGTGTGTGTGTTTCTTTACGCTGCTCTAAAAAACAGTATTTTTACAACTTTGTTTCCATGAGCACTAAAATATCCTTTCGAATTTTCGCGTTGGTGTGAGCACTGATGCCAACTGTTTGTGGGTAATAAAGACTACATGTGGAAAGTGGTGTTCACCTTCCCTTTATTCTGCGTACTCAGCGAGGAGCTGCGGCCGAGGGGTCTTGGCCCTGAAAGTGAGGCCCAGGGCTGAGCGCTGCACAGACGGACAAGCTGCGGGCTGGGCTTTCGCAGATGTCCTGAGGCCGCACTTCCCACATCTGAAAAACAGGGCTGGGGGGTGCTACTTACACAGCTGTTGTGAATTCAAACAAAATAGTGTTTCTAAAATATCGAACACAGTGCAGGCAGAGCGTTTGTGATTTATGCTCCAAAATGTTGGCCCCGTCCCCTCTCGAATGCAAAAGTGTACTTGTTAGCAGAAATGGTTGGATTTGACCAAACCCCGGGGTACTGGGACCTTTCCAGGAAGCGGTGACAGGGCATGTAGGCATCCTGCAGCCGGCCAGATGGAGTGCTGGACACATTTCGTGGGCATCAGGAGGGACAGGCTGGGTGCGGCCAGCAGCGCGTGCCCGTGGGTGTGGTCGGAGGGGGATCCTGGGCCTCCCTCACCGCCCTCCCCTCTGACCACCTTTTCACATGGGGGGCTTGGGTGCTGTTTCCTCTAGATGCTCTCAGACCGTCATATACACTCAGGGCAGGGACCCCAACACACCCAGTTCCTGTGCGGCACTGCAGGTACGGCTGGTGCGTCTTGGTCATTCAGAATGACTGTGGGAGCCTGGGCAACGTGGCGAAACCCCGTCCTTACAAGAAATTAGCCAAGCATGATGGCGCCTGTGCTATGGTTTCAGCTACTCAGGGGGCTGAGATGGAAGGATCGCTTGAGTCCAGGAGGTCGAGGCTGCAGTGAGCCGTGATTGCATCACTGCCCTCCAGCCTGGGCCACAGAGTGAGACCCTGTCTTTAAAAAAAAAAAAAAAAAAAAAGCTGTTGGACTGGGGGAAGTGATTTGTTTGTGCTTTTTCTACTGTTTCTGCGTCTTGACAGCCTTCCCTGGGTGTGGCTTTGTCCATGAAACCTTTGTTGGTTTGTGTGTGCAGCAGATGGGGCCGGAGGGCACGGCTTCCCCCAAGATGTCCATTTCACCTGCGGCAGCTGAGCGGTGGCCCCCGGTGCCAGTGTCTGACCTTGGGGAACACACACCCCAGCTCGGCCTCTGCGGCCCTGGCAGTTTCTCCCCTTCCTCCTCGGGGCCTTTCTGTTCTGGGCCCCTCCTTTCAGGAAGGGAGCCCCTGAGCACGTGGGGGGGAATGGCCGCGGAGCCCGAGGCTGGGACCGTGAATGGTTCTGGCTTCTTCCCAGGGCCTCTTCCTGCAGTGAGGGTGCTGTGTCCTCTGCATCCTGAGTGTGTCCTAAATCCTGAAGGTGGGGTGAGGGCACACCCGGCACTCCTGGGTGTGTTTGTGTGTGGGTGCATGCAGTTTTTTTTTTTTTTTAGAGACAGGGTCTCACTCTCTCGCTGAGACTGGAGTGCAGTGGCACGATCTCGACTTGCTGCAGCCTCTGCCTCCCGGGCTCCAGCAGTTCTCCTACCTCAGCCTCCCTACCTACCTAGCTGGGACTACAGGTGGGTGCCCCCACACCCCACTAATTTTTATATTTTTAGTAGAGACGGGGTTTCACCGTGTTGGCCAGGCTGGTCTCGAACCCCTGAGCTCAGGCGATCTGCCCACCTCAGCTTCCCAAAGTGATGGGATTACAGGCGTGAGCCACCACACCTGGTCCCATCTCACTCGATTTTTAGTGCAGCTGTGACTAATTCCAGGTGAAGTTGGCTGGTGGGTCTTTTGTTATTTCTCTTAAGTTCTAGCCTCCTTTTTAATATTCCAAATTTTCCATCTCTCTTGTAAGAATTTGCCCTTTTGGGCCAGGTGTGATGGTTCACACCTGTAATCCCAGCACTTTGGGAGGCTGAGGCAGGTGGATCACGTGAGGTCAGGAGTTTGAGACCAGCCTGGCCAACATAGCGAAACCCTGTCTTTACTAAAAATACAAAAAATTACCCAGGTGTGGTGACAGGCACCTGTAATCCCAGCTACGTGGGAGGCTGAGGCAGGAGAATCGCTTGAACCCAGAAGGAGGAGGTTGCAGTGAGCCGAGATCACGCCATTGAGCTCCAACCTGGGCAACAGGACCAAAACTCAGTCGGGGCGGGGCCGGGGGGAGAATTTTCCCTTTTGTTTTCTGTAAATACGGTTTAGAAGTTGTCAGCATCCTTCGCTTGTCGGGCTGTGAACTGGATGACCCAGACACCTGCCCAGCAGACGGAGAGGCCCTAGAACTCGGCAGGGGACAGGTTACTTTAAAATGTAATTTTCTGGCATCCTGCATGGCTCCTCCCTGTTTCCATCATGCACTGAGGTAAATAATAGAAATACTTGGAAAAAACTTGGATTTTCCAAAGTTCTGTGGTCCTCCCTCACTGTCATAGGCATTCGGTCCCCGACAGGTGGTCCCGCAGAATCCTCGCGGAAGTAAACCATGGACACTGGCGCCTGCGTCCAGGGAAGCCTCAGCCGAGGCACCTCAGTGTGATTTGAACGTGGGGTCCAGGGGCCTGGCCTCTGTGGGGGCTGCCATGGGGGCTGCCGTGGAGGAGAAACTCCTCAGAGTTCATGGCGCAGCCCCACTTGCTGGTACCTGGGTGGACACCGATCGGGGGAGAGAACTGAACTTCGGGGTCTGACACCGTCTGTTGATCTGAAGTGTTTAACTCATGGACTTCTAATTCTCTCAACACCGTGCGGGAGCAGCAGGCCCGGTGGGACCCCATCGCACCCCTCTCTCCCTCCCCGCCTTCTGGAGGGGCATGGACGCAGAGCCGTGTCCTCCCATTGCTGAATGTGGGGGTAACTGTGGGGTCGGCGAGAGGGGGCAGCTCACTGTGGCTTGTGGCGTGGCCCCCCATCCTGTAGCTCTGGAAATTCGACCCTGAGCCCCGGGGGCCGCCTGCTCCTCTCCTCCACTCCATCAGAAGAGAAAAGACAAGAGCGGCCTCGGCTGGGCGAGGGCCCCTGGTACCCTGCCCTCAGAGCGGAGGGAATGCAGCTTCAAGTCAGGAGAGCTCTGAAGAGGACCTGGGAGGGCAAGTGGTCCCTGCTGTGGCCCTAGGGGCCCCTGCTGTGGTTCTAGGGGTGTGGCTGCTCTGCCAGGCGTGGCTGGTCCTGACTTGCGACCTCCTCGTGATGTGGCCCCTGCTGTGGTTCTAGGGACGTGGCTGCTGTGCCGGGCATGGCCAGTCCTGACTTGTGACCTCCTCTGTGTGCTGGTTGCAGACGATGAGCATTTCCAGGGCTGGGCCTCTTGTTAGCGTGGTCTCTAGGGTGTCCCGTCGAACGCATCTCCCAGTGGCCTGGCGTGCTGTGCAGGAAACAGAGGGGGACACAGCAGTCCTCACTGTGTATCCACTGCAGCTTTGTGGCATGGGGTGCTGGGGTGGGGATCCCACCACCTGCCCGACTCTCCTCATCATGAATGCACCGTGGTTGAACAAATACAGCCCGGCCATGGCAATTTTGCACAAGAATGGGATGGTGGTCACAGATTTCTGAATTTAGAGAACCATTAAACATGCAGGCAGCAGGCACAGAGCAGCCGACACTCAGAGGGCCTTTGGGGATGGTTCTGGAACATTCTAGAAAAACTGAACTAGTTTCCTTGGATTTGTAGGACCAGTAACCTTGGCTTGGGTGTTAAATCAAACAGATGGCAGTTTCATTAGTAGACCACCAATCTCTGACATCCGTTTCAGAGGACTTGCTGTACTTCTCATTTGATTCCGTTGAACTTTGCTCTGCTTACTTTTATTCCTTTTTCAGCATTTCAGCAGTAGGCTGGCCTCCTCCCTGTTAATAGTCATTGTTCACCCAGTAGAAACCATGAAAAGTGTCATTTAGGCTCAGAACATGGCTGCCCACAAGTTGTGCTGGGCTGGCGCTGACCTGGGGCCTTGAGGTGTGCGCTGCCTTCATGTCTGCAAACAGCACAAAGATGCCGACTTCACACAGACAAGAAGAGGATGTGCCGCTGGCTGGCCGACGGCTGGGGACAGGAGGCTGTGAGCCCCACATCAGCCGTGCCTGGAAGTGTGGGACGTGGCCTCTGGAGTGTTGCTGGTGTGACCCCCCTCACTCTTTTAAAGAGTCAAGGATTCTAGGGACAGCCATGGCGATGCGGTCCCGCCTCCCGTGAAGCTCATCCCAGCTCCCTGCAGTCCTTTCCTGGGGGCACTGCTTCCGGCCGGCTCGTTACTGGAGAAGGTGGCTGAGCCCAGGCATCAGGAGGCGTTTTGCAGAGAACAGTCTCAGCTTGTCTTTGTTTTGGTTGTGGTTTAAAGACTGTTTCCCTCTGGTATTTAGAGGATGAATCGAGAACTTTACCTTGGTTCTGAATCGAGACTGGAATCGTGAACAGTTAATGACCAAAGGGATTTGGTGGATGTGCATTTTCAGGCAGCCCAGGCCGGCGTGCCTCGGTGTTCTCATCAGGAGAGCATTTCTGCAGTCCAGACGTGTTCACACTCCGACTCCCTCCACCAAAACCCTCTGTTGGAATCACTCCCAGGAGAGAGACCCACCCTGGAGAAGTCACGGGTGGAGACCCCAGACATTTGGGGTCGGCCAGCTGATCAAAGCACTTGAACACCTGCCTCCAGCGAGACCCCCAGGTCATCACCGGGCTCACACCGCATACCGGGAAGATCATCGGTGCTTCTGGAACTCTCTAGAACCCAGCGGCTGGTACGCGTTCCCGTGGGTGAGACTCCTCCTTTCCTGTGTTCCCAGGGCCTGGGTCCCTTTGAGGGTCACTGATGGCAGAGCAGAAGCCCCTCCAGCCTCTACCCTCCACCCTCAGAGCCACAGGATGGGCTCTGGGGAACCGCCAGACCCAGCCCAGGGAGCCGGCGCCACCTCCCCCAGCTCAGGTAAGACACCAAGGTGGCCAACTTTGTCTGGGGCAGCTGGGCCAAACACTGGGAGCGTGGTGACCCTGACACCCATGTGCTCGTGGCCACCACCCAGATGAGCCTGGGCACCTCCAAGGAGGCTCTTTGGTGGCACCTGCTCTCCATGTGCCCTCCTCTCCCACCCTCAACTCACCCAGGTACAGAGAAAACCCATTTTAGGTCAGCCGAGTTGTTCTCTTTTGCAGTAGTGATTGTTCCACTCCCAGAGCAACAGGTTGTATGAAGTTGAATTGGTTTTTATATTTTGAGCAATTTTTTTCCCCTGACGTAAAGACATTCAATTCTTGTCGCAGTGGGTTGGAAACATCAGTTCCTAGAGCTCAGTGGTGGTGGCCGGTCCCTTCCAGGCCTGGTCACTGCCCATTTCTGGCCAAGCCCCGACTCAGAGGCCACTGCCCCAGCCGGAGCCGCGCAGAGCCCTAGTGGAAGGTGTTCTCCTTCCTGTGCCTGAAGTCGCAGGGTCTCTTCTGTAAAGAAAGGGCCATGGGATGTGTTTGCCTCCTTGGAGAAAAAAAATTCTTTTTTTTTTTTTTTTTTTTGAGACAGAGTCTCGCTCTGTCCCCCAGGTTGGAGTGCAGTGGCACGATCTCAGCTCACTACAAGCTCCGCCTCCCGGGTTCACGCCATTCTCCTGCCTCAGCCTCCCGAGTAGCGGGGACTACAGGCACCCGCCACCTCGCCCGGCTAGTTTTTTGCATTTTTAGTAGAGACGGGGTTTCACCGTGTTAGCCAGGATGGTCTCGATCTCCTGACCTCGTGATCCGCCCGTCTCGGCCTCCCAAAGTGCTGGGATTACAGGCGTGAGCCACCGCGCCCGGCCTTTTTTTTTTTTTTTTTTTTTTTTGAGATGGAGTCTGGCTTTGTCACCCAGGCTGGAGTGCAGTGGGGCAATCTTGGCTAACTACAAGCTCCACCTCTGGGATTCAAGCGATTCTTCTGCCTCAGCCTCCCAAGTAGCTAGGACTACAGGTGCCCCGCCGCCACGCCCAGCTAATTTTTTGTATTTTAGTAGAGACAGGGTTTCACCATGTTAGCCAGGATGGTGGTGATCTCCTGACCCCATGATCCGCCCGCCTCGGCCTCCCAAAGTGCTGGGATTACAGGCGTGAGCCTCTGCGCCTGCCCTAATTTTTGTATTTTTAGTAGAGATGAGGTTTCACCATGTTGGCTAGTCTGGTCCCGAACTCCTGACTGCAAGTGATCCACCTGCCTCGGCCTCCCAAATTGCTGGGATGACAGGCATGAGCTGCCTCAGCCTCTCACAGTGCTAGGATCACAGGCGTGAGCCTCCTCGGCCTCCCAAAGTGCTGGGATGAGCCTTAGTGCCCGGCCTCAACCACACATTTTGGATTTTGAAATTAATTGCTATTGCTACACGAGTCATTTCTCACAGGATAGTTTTGGTGGCGGGCGTTAATGTTTTGTTAATGCATATTTTTTTTTAGTGTCTCTTCATTGAGAATTAATTACAGTCTTCCTTTCCAGATGGCTGTTGACAGGCTGTCTTTGTAGCGACTGGACAGTGTTCCAGGTGAGTGAGGGTGGCAGAGCATCCACCTAGAAGTCTTGCCGCTTTTATCCCATCTTGACGGTCTGTAACTTGTCTGTCTCTGGTTCTAGATGGACACTTCTCATGGCGTGGAGAGCTGGGCGGAGCATCCTCTTCCAGTGTTGGCTCCGCTGGCACCAGGGTGGGTTTCTGCAGGGCCTGTGGCCTGTCCAGGATGCCTGGATGGACTTGCCCAGCCCTGGGAGCAGCCAGTGTCAGGACGGCGTGGCCTCGCCTGGAGCTCCTTGGGTGCTGACAGCTTTACCCTGAGGCCAGCTAAGGAGCCCCGTGAAGCAAGGGACAAGCGAAGGCACCTGCTAGAAGTGGCATGGGATAGAACCTGCTGGAAGTGGTGTGGGACAGAACTGCGGGTGCCTCTGGTCTGTGTGCTGGAGCCAGCGTTTGCCTCGATGCTGCAGCCAGGGCTTTGGTGACCCGGTCCCGGTGGCCGACTCGGTGCAGCTGCCCGTGCGCGAGAACTCGCAAGCGTGTTGGAGCAGGGGGGAGCTGGGTGACTGCACAGCCGTGTCGGGGAGGGGACGTCTGCGGAGAGCTGTGGCCGGGAGCCAGTGTGTGCCTTTCTGTGGTCATTTCTCGAGTCCTCTGCTGGCCGCTGCCAGGTGAAGGCGTCTCCGTGCCCAGCTGGTGGGCAGGTGGGGCAGGTGGACCTTCAGCTTCTGCCTGATGGGGTTCAGATGACTGAGATCCCACGGGATTGCCAACATGTGGGGACGGGGGCTTTCGGGGACAGGAAAACATGCCCCCATCCATGGGAAGTGGAGCCACACAGCTCTAACCCAAGCGACTTTCTAGGAAGATCTAAGGACACAGCCTGCCATGGCGTCCTTGGTGGTGTGTGCCTGGCATGTGCGCGGCGCTCTACATGTTGGTGTGGAATCACAGGAATGTGCTGCTTTTCAGAAAGAGCGCCCCGCGGTGCCCTCGCCCGTCCTCGTCAGACGAATTAGGTTCAATGTCAGCTTTCTATTCAGAGCGGGTGGTTGTGGACTTGTTGAGCTCCAGGGACCCAGAGCAGCAGGTGGGCTCAGGAGGGAAACAGGCATCCCGCATTCCAGATTCTGGAATAACCAGAAGTGCCATCTGGCAGGGAAAGTGGCGTGTCGGGGGAGCCCACTCCCAGGCCAGAGACGTGTCCTGCAATCTGCCCAACAGCCCATCCCCTTTCCGGAAGGTCCCCATCTTCACTCAGCCAGTCTTGTCTGCTGGAGCCTCCCCTAGTTGCTCAAATCTTTATTCCTGAGATGAGTTTCTGAAGATGGAGAAAAGTGGGATTTCTAGCGAGGTTTGGGGCATTTTACCAAAGGTGACTGCGCTCTGCTGGCGTCTGCGAGAGTCGGGAGAGCAGTCCACACAGGCCGCGCCTTCCGAGCTGCCAGACACCTCTTTATGCAAATGCCTGTTGGAACTGTAATGTCAGTCGTAGAGAAAATGAAGCTTTTCTTTTTTTATTGGTCAAAATGGGATCTCTTGGCCGGGCGTGGTGGCTCAGGCCTAAAATCCCAGCACTTTGGGAGGCCGAGGCAGGCGGATCACCTGAGGTCAGGAGTTCAAGGCCAGCGTGGCCAACATGGTGAAACCCTGTCTCGACTAAAAATAGAAAAATTACCTGGGGCTTGGTGGCGGGCGCCTGTAATCCCAGCTATTCAAGAGGCTGAGGCAGGAGAATCGCTTGAACCCGGGAGGCAGAGGTTACAGTGAGCGGAGATCACACCATTGCACTCCAGTCAGGGCAACAGGAGTGAAACTCCCTCTCAAAAAAAAAAAAAAAAAAAAAAGAAGATCTCTCAGCTGTTGGACCTGAGATGGTATGTCTCAGCCTGGGCACCGTGACAGAAGAAACGTGGCATCTGACTGTGAGATTAGTCCACGCCTAGGCTCTGTGTTCATGGGTGGGGCACACCCTGGTGCTGTTGAAGCAGAGACATCAGAGGCTGCACAACGACTTTGCCCTTTGCTCTCCAGGGTGAGCAGCAGGTGGGCCCAGCAGGGAGAGAGTTGTCTTGGGGGATTGATAAGGAGGCCTGGTTATAGAGATTCTCTCTGCACCATTTTGCTGAAAGAGTTTGGTTAACTTTTTGAAAACAATTTAAAAAGCATAGACATGTGCCATAGAACCTAAAAAAAATATGTTCGTGGCAGGTAGTAAAATGATAAAGGCTATAAGAACATTTTTAGGATAGATAGCAGTATGACTTTATCCTTACTTCTGACATTCTTTCCCCTGAAACTACACAGACATTCATTCAGCATATAAAGTTTTCAGGCCGGGTGCAGTGGCTCACGCCTGTAATCCCAATACTTTGGGAGGTTGTGGCAGGAGTACTGTTTAAGCCTGAGAGTTCGAGACCAGCCTGGGCAACACAGGGAGACCCTGTCTCTACAAAAAAATTTAAAATTAGCTGAGTGCGGTGCTGTACACGTGTGATCCCAGGTACTCGGAAAGCCAAGGAGGGAGGATCGCTTAGGCACAGGAGGTTGAGGCTGCAGTGAGCCGTGATTTCACCACTGCACTCCAGCTGGGCCACAGAGCAAGACCTTGCCCAAAAAACAAAAACAAAAGCAACACACACAAAGGTATTTTCAGCACATTCCCTTAAATATTTCTTCTCCTGTTTTGAAATATTATTGCTTAGAGATTAACTTCAAAGAGATATTTAAAAAATGTATCAGTAAGTAACATTAGTCTTCCTTAAAAAGAGAATTTCAATAATAAAAGCCTGGTTCTTTCTTTAGGTCCCTTCATTGCCACAAAGCTCGCTTCCTGTCTACAAAATTCATTCTGGGTTTCTTGGCATATTCACCGTTTTCACAAAATGTGAATGGCCTCACAGACCTGGGTGCCCATCAGTATAGCAGTCCTGTGTGTCTATGTGTGTCTGTAGAAATTAAGACCTCAAGCTGGGCACAGTGGCTCATGCTGGTAATCCCAGCACTTTGAGAAGCTGAGGTTGGAGGATCGCTTGAGCCCAGGAGTTCAAGACCAGCCTGGGCAACCTGGTGAAACCTCATCTCTACAGTTACTCTGGAGGCTGAGGTGGAAGGATCGCTTGAACCCAGGAGGTCGAGGCTGCAGTGACCCGTGATTGCACCACTTCACTCCAGCTGGGCCAGAGTGAGACCCTGTCTCAAAAAAGAAAAGAACTCCACACACGTAACCCATCCGGGAAGGGGGCCAGTGCAGGGACAAGGCTGTGATCCTTGAGAGAAGAGAATACAGACGAGCTGCCCTTCATCCCAGCAGTGTTGCTGGCATATTTCCCAAACCCTGAAACAGGAAGTGGAGCCTGAGTGGACGGCAGTGCACGGATACAGAGATTGTCCTTCAGGGTAGCCAGAGGAGCCGGGACTTGAGGGGTAAAATCCCAAAAGGCAAGAAACAAAGAGGAGGACCCCAACCTTGCATACAACTGCCCCCCCACCTCAACCCTCTAAGCCACACACACACACATGCACACAGAGCAACACTGCAAGAACCAAGCAGAACAGCGCTGGGTGGGAGGCTATGCCACACGGCAGCACAGCAGCGATGTCCGTGGTCATGCACGTGAAGACACAGGCTGGAGGCCAAATGCTGGCAAGGTGAAGGAGATCCAGGAAACACCCTGGGCTTTCAGGTGAGACCCCAGAGGGACCACATCTCCTGAAGAGGGACCACATCTCCCGAAGAGGGACCACATCTCCCCGAAGAGGGACCGCATCCCCCCGAAGAGGGACCGCATCCCCCCGAAGAGGGACCGCATCCAATTTTTGTATTTTTAGTAGAGACAGGGGTTTCACCACAGCATAGGATGGTGGTGGATCTCCTTGACCCCATGATCCGCCCGCCTCGGCCTCCCAAAGTGCTGGGATTACAGGCGTGAGCCTCTGCGCCTGCCCTAATTTTTGTATTTTTAGTAGAGATGAGGTTTCACCATGTTGGCTAGTCTGGTCCCGAACTCCTGACTGCAAGTGATCCACCTGCCTCGGCCTCCCAAATTGCTGGGATGACAGGCATGAGCTGCCTCAGCCTCTCACAGTGCTAGGATCACAGGCGTGAGCCTCCTCGGCCTCCCAAAGTGCTGGGATGAGCCTTAGTGCCCGGCCTCAACCACACATTTTGGATTTTGAAATTAATTGCTATTGCCTACACGAGCCATTTCCTCACAGGATAGTTTTTTGTGTATGGCGTTAATGTTTTGTTAATGCATATTTTTTTTAGTGTCTCTTCATTGAGAATTAATTACAGTCTTCCTTTCCAGATGGCTGTTGACAGGCTGTCTTTGTAGCGACTGGACAGCGTGTTCCAGAGGAGGGTGGCAGAGCATCCACCTAGAAGTCTGCGCTTTTATCCCATCTTGACGGTCTGTAACTTGTCTGTCTCTGGTTCTAGATGGACACTTCATGGCGTGAGAGCTGGGCGGAGCATCCTCTTCCAGTGTTGGGCCCGCTGGCACCAGGGTGGGTTTCTGCAGGGCTCAGGCCTGTCCAGATGCCTGGATGGACTTGCCCAGCCCTGGGAGCAGCCAGGGCCAGATCGTGTTGGCCTCTGGCTTGGAGCCTTGGGTGCCACAGCTTACCCTGAGGCCAGCTAAGGAGCCCCGTGAAGCAAGGACAAGCGAAGGCACCTGCTAAGGGTATGGGATAGAACCTGCTGGAAGTGGTGGGACAGAACTGCGGTGCCTCGGTCTGTGTGCTAAGAGCCAGCGTTTGCCTCGATGCTGCAGCCAGGGCTTTGGTGACCCGGTCCCGGTGGTCGACTCGTGTGCAGCTGCTCGTGGCGCGAGAACTCCGCAAGCGTGCTGAGCAGGGGAGCTGGGTGACTGCACAGCCGTGTCGGGAGGGGACGCTGCGGAGAGCTGTGGCCGAGCCAGTGTGTGCCTTTCTGTGGTCATTTCTCGAGTCCTCTGCTGGCCGCTGCCAGGTGAAGGCGTCTCCGTGCCCAGCTGGTGGGCAGGGTGGGCAGGTGGACCTTCAGCTTGCCTTGGATGGGGTTCAGATGACTGAGATCCACGGGATTGCCAACATGTGGGGACGGGGCTTTCGGGGACAGGAAAACATGCCCCCATCCATGGGAAGTGGAGCCACACAGCTTCCAACCTGCCACTTTCTAGGAAGATCTAAGTGACACAGCCCTGCCATGGCGTCCTGGTGGTGTGTGTGTGCCTGGCATGTGCGCTGCGCCTACATGTTGCGTGGAATCACAGGAATGTGCTGTTTTCAGAAAGAGCGCCTACGTGCTCCCCTGCTCGGGCCCTCGCTGTATCTAATTAGGTTCAATGTCAGCTTTCATTCAGAGCGGGTGGTTGTGGGACTTGTTGAGCTCCAGGGACCCAGAGCAGCAGGTGGGCTCAGGAGGGAAACAGGCATCCCGCATTCCAGATTCTGACACCAGAAGTGCCATCTGGTGGGAGGGCGTGGTCGGGGAGCCTACCCCAGGCCAGAGATTTGTCCTGCAATCTGCCCCACAGCCTCATCCCTTCTCCTCGAAGGTCCCCATCTTCACTCAGCCAGTCTTGTTCGCTGAGCCTCCCAGTTGCTCAAATCTTTATTCCTGAGATGAGTTTCTGAAGATGGAGAAAAGTGGGATTTCTAGCGAGGTTTGTGCATTTAATAAAGGTGACTGCGCTCTGCTGGCGTTCAAGTAGAGTCGAGAGCAGTCCACAGGCCGCGCTTCCGAGCTGCCAGACACCTCTTTATGCAAATGCCTGTTGGAACTGTAATGTCAGTCGTAGAGAAAATGAAGCTTTTCTTTTTTATTGGTCAAAACTGGATCTCTTGGCCGGGCGTGGTGGCTCAGGCCTGGGGTAATCCCAGCACTTTGGGAGGCCGAGAGGCGGATCACCTGAGGTCAGGAGTTCAAGGCCAGCGTGGCCAACATGGTGAAACCCTGTCTCGACTAAAAATAGAAAAATTACCTGGGGCTTGGTGGCGGGCGCCTGTAATCCCAGCTATTCAAGAGGCTGAGGCAGGAGAATCGCTTGAACCCGGGAGGCAGAGGTTACAGTGAGCGGAGATCACACCATTGCACTCCAGTCAGGGCAACAGGAGTGAAACTCCCTCTCAAAAAAAAAAAAAAAAAAAGAAGATCTCTCAGCTGTTGGACCTGAGATGGTATGTCTCAGCCTGGGCACCGTGACAGAAGAAACGTGGCATCTGACTGTGAGATTAGTCCACGCCTAGGCTCTGTGTTCATGGGTAAGTACACCCTGGTGCTGTTGAAGCAGAGACATCAGAGGCTGCACAACGACTTGCCCTCTTGCTCTCCAGGTGAGCAGCAGGTAGGCCCAGCAGGGAGAGAGTTGTCTTGGGGGATTGATAAGGAGGCCTGGTTATAGAGATTCTCTCTGCACCATTTTGCTGAAAGAGTTTGGTTAACTTTGAAACAATTTAAAAAGCATTGTGACATGTGCCATAGAACCTAAAAAAAATATGTTCGTGGCAGGTAGTAAAATGATAAAGGCTATAAGAACATTTTTAGGATAGATAGCAGCATGACTTTTTATCCTTACTTCACATTCTTTTCCCTGAAACTACACAGACATTCATTCAGCATATAAAGTTTTC